TATCCGGGCCGGATCTATTTTTAAAAATTAATTTCGGGCTGGGTAAATCGGGTCGAGTTTTAATTTTTAAATATGATATCATTATATTTTGTCAAATAAATTGATATATTTTAAAATTCTTGCAATAAACAAGGCGTTAATATTTTTTATTTGTAGAATATTTGTTTTACAATCAAAAATAAAATTGAATATTTCTATATTTATAAATTCGGGCCGATCGGGCGGACAAATAATTTTTATTTCGGGTCGGACTTTTCAGGACAAATAAATTTTTTAGTTCAAATCGAATCGGGAAGGACAAATTTTTTTATAAAAAATTTGGACCGGGCCAAGCTTGAAAAATTAGGCCCAATGCAGATCACTAATTTTATATATTATTATCCTCAAAAGCGACGATCAGAAATTATAAGCTATGACTAAATAATGGTTCAACACTAGCACGCAATGCAGTATTAAATTTAATATAATATTATTTATATAAGAAAAATCATCAAAAATATTCATTTGAGTATTTTTAGATTTAAGAAAATATTTCTAGGATCTTCAATGTATATTATTATTTATTTCCTGGCGATCAGTCTAAAATTATAATAGTAATGGTTAGAATAAAAATTATGTAAGATATAAATGTATGGATATGTTTGTCAACTGGCCAGGCTACCATCCTTTAACTTTTATCTATTGTCCAATTTCTTTCAAAATTGGTTAAAATGTGAAAACATTGAAATAAGTGTTTTTAGCATGTTTTGATAAAAATTAGAAATATATAGATAAAGTTAATTTTAAACATGTTTAACACAGATAATAATTTATAAAATATTATCAAATAGATAAGTTGATAAAATGAAATGTTAATACTAAATTATTTATTGTAATTTTTAATTTATAATATAATTCTTGTATATATCGCCAGTTCAGTTGAAACATACCATGTTTGGACTGGACAAGAAAATCAACTTTGACATAAATAATCTAGCTCAAAGACTATTATAAATGCAGCTTTGATTCATATTTTATTTCAAAGATTTAGGATTGAACTGCATATTAATATTAAATATGTTGAAATTTTAAATGTTTTGGCGTTGAATTTACTAGTCTTGTTTGAACTTCCGGAACCTCTTACAATGAAATTTATACCTTGGGTTAATTTTTTTATAAGGATTAATATATTTTGCGAATTCAGGAAAAGAAAATTCCATATTATCATTATTTTCCATGGAAATTAATTTGTCGATATGATCGATACTCTTCAATATAAATCTCTATCGTCGACATTTTAAATTATTTTGAAAACTAGATTAAAAATGCAGATTTATAATATAAATTTCAAAATTAAATTAAATAAATTGATTTTGGTAATAATTAAAATAAATTATAACAATTTTGTGGGCATTTATTATATAAAATTAAAACCTTCGCTATTTTCTAAATTAGTAGCGAGCTACAGCTATTGCTATTTATGTTTAGCGCGTTACTTTAACAACACTGGTACATGGATGCAACTTAAAACTTGAATTTAAATGAAATAAGATGGATAATGTGAATTAAGCATCATCGTATCAGTCAAAATTTTCGAACAGAAGAAAGGATAAATTGAGGCCTGTTTGTTTTCGATAAAAGAATCGGTTGAAGGTTTATAAATTTCGATATAATTTCTTTTACAATAGCTTTTTTTCATTCGCAAATCAGTCACTAGAGAAGCTGGTCAATAATATTAAAATTACAGGCTATTCTATTTATTAGAGTAAAGATTAAAGAAGTATAAAAAAATTCGCCATTTTTCCCTAATCCAGGCAAAATTCAATCCAATAAGTATGATTGCATAAATAGTTAGGGAGGAGCAAAAGCGTACTCAACACGTCTACAATTCTTTAAAGAAGGTTTAAGATAATTGTAAATATAAAAATTATTCATCCAGAGATGATTAACATTTATCTTAAATCATAGTTATCTATGTTCTAAGGACTATCTAGTGAGTTAAGTGATAAAATTTATTGGGCAATGCTATAGATAGAGTTTGGAACCAGGACCAGAGCCGGCACAAATCTAGGAACTAGAATTACAATCTGGAACCCTCTTTTAATTCCGTAATCTAACAAAAATGTTAAACCGTATCAAATTGGAGAACCGGGATCAGAACCTACTTTTCAAAATTTTGGAAACCAGAACTGGAACCATTCTTTAAAAAAATATTTAGAACCGGAATGATAAATTCAATCAGTTATTGAAAATTTTCTACCATTATAATAGAAGTTTAAAACATTATATGGGTTGTTAAATAAACTTTATAATTTTATAAAAAACAAATCTTAATCAATATAATCAGCTGACAGCTGTGCATATTTATGTATATTATTTTTTTTCCACCTGGCTTTTTGACCTTTATATTCTAAAAGTATATTTGATATGAAAAAGGTGAGTACATAAAATATTATGTTATACTTATTATGAATAAAATTTTAGATGCTTTTATTTTTAATATAACAATTCTACCTAACATTTTTTTATTTAGAAACCAGCACTTCAGATATTATGTTTTTTTTTAAATTGGTTAAAGGTATCTAGTTAATATACTTATATATTTTTGGTTCTAAGATTTCAATTTATTTTGGTCGTTCAAAAATAATTATGATTCCTTTCAGCCTGTAATAGATATATTTACGATTCCACTTGATCGTTGTATACACAAAAAGTTATTTTAAGGTTCTGAGTAAGGTCAGGTTATGAATCTGTTGCATATAAAAAGCATCCTAACCAAGTTTTTTAAAATATTACTATATATTATGTATTAACGCTTCTGCTATTATTAAAGGGAGTCAAATGCCCTCAATGTCTTTTATGCAAAGGACTCTCTAATTTCATCACAATAACACATATATTGTAATTCTTGGCGATTAAATTCTTGAGTTCTTATCTTAACTCTAGCTGCTTAATAATTGAAGTGCTCCACTTACGTTTTAATTTAAATAAGAAAATAGAAATCATTGCAATAAGTAAATGAACAAACAGGGCCCCAGAGGTATACCAAAACCACTTTTTTCGCCGATACCGATAATAACGAAATTTGACTCCATATTTATTATAGTGCGAAGCCTTGGGTTTTTCAAGCTATCACATTAAAAAGTTTTAGAAAACTGGAGTTCTAGCTGATTATTTTTTTTCAATAAACTATTAACATTTTTCGGGCCTATTTTGCAGATCACAAAGATAAATTATTAAATAACGATCTGAAAAAAAATAATTTAATATAATTTGGTTGGGTAGTATCGGTAAAAATGAAAAGTATTGGAAGATAGGGATACCTGTTCTCGATACTGATACTCAGTATTAGTATTGGCATCGGTTTATTTTTGATTTATGTTTTTGACATTTCAAAAAAGCAGATAAAGTAAAAAAAGTTCCAAATACACATTAAAATAATTCTCTACTTATTTTGAACATTTTTAATTTTTTAATCCTAAAATATATTTTTAAAAGTATAAAAATATTAACATAACTATTTGTATTTAAGTGAAAATATTAACAAAAAAATATATAAATAAATGTTACATTAATGCTTAGATATTTTAATTATTTTTTCTAGGCATTATTTATTCACATTTGGCATATATAATAAAAATTGTGCGTAAGGCCTGTGCGCTGATTTTTTAAAAACAGACGACAGTGGTTTAAAAACAATATCGGCGTTTATCGGCTCACTGATTTTGCCATCACTTGCAAATTTGGAGACAGCATCTGCTTCGGCGTACAAATTTTTATAGAAATTTGCAACATAAAAAAAATTAATTTAATAGGGGTTAGTTAGATTTGGACAAATGGTAGTTTTTTGACATCCTGTGAAAAAATTTGTTCACTTGATGTAGTATTGCAGGTCAAAAAGTGGGAGCATCATTCCCGATAATATATGGCATTCTTTTAATTTATCGTCCAATGTTCATTTGATAAGGAATGCTTTCGCGCTAATACTGTTATCTAATCAGTAGAACTCAAGGCTTGCTTATTCTTTTTTCGGTTTCTTTTCTATAATATTGTGTCCAATAATTAAATGTCAAATTAAGAATTATATTGGCGTCAAGTTTATAGAAAGGGATTTGAAATTATCCAAAACCTTGGATCGAGCAATAAGCTTTAAGAATCGTTATAAAATATTAGACCTATTAATATGCCATGTAACAATTTATGTAATATAATTTAATTTTAGATCCTTTTATTTTCTTTAAAATGCTCAATTTATGTAATATAATTTAATTTTAGATCTTTTTATTTTCTTTAAAATGCTAATAAAATAAAAAGGGAAATAAAGACATTGAGGGCCGGGGATCAGATATTCAAATTAAATTTATTTGTATAAAAATTAATCCTAAAATAAAACACTCGTATAAAGAGCATATAAATTGGTTCATTATAAATAAATACCCTATTAAAATTTATATTGGGTTTGGGACTTGATAAATTTCAAAGTTTTGTAAATATGACTAAAATAAAAAATGATATTCTTACTATATCACCGTTCCCCTCTCCTCCAAAATAAGAATCAATAGTTATCATAAAAAATTTAAAAAATAATAAGCACAAGTTGAAAGTTTTTTAAAATAATTACTATAATGCATATAACAATATAACACTAACATAATACATAGAAAATCCCCTCTCTTGATAAAATTCTGGCTGTGCCTAAATAAGTATGTTAAATGTTAAGCGCAATAATTTTTATGATTTTGATTTGAATAAAATTTAGTAAGTAAAATTTCCAAAGGTAAATATTTCATACCTTAGTGACCGATATGTCGATCTGGTCATTTTTTTGTTCTTACTCAAATCAACTAGAAATCAATTCTACAAAACCGTTTTCATTTAGCATTCATCCGTAAATGGTCGGTCACTTGTTAGATTTTATCGTATTTACATATTTACATTCATTATTATATAATATATTAAAAAGAATTTATGAATGATTTTATCAATACTAAATTTTATTTATTTTTTTAAAAATAATTTACCTCCGATCAGAGCCCATGGAATTAGGATCCAAAAAATAAAACCGCAAATCAACTTTCTACTGACTACCGCCATCTTCTGGAGCAGTTATAATGGGCAGTTGATGTCGTTCATGGTACTCTTAGAAAGATATACAAAGAGAAAAATGATTAACTGCCATTATTATTTTATATGTTTTGGAAGAAAAAAAAAGTATAAAAGACAAGACTAATTTTCTTAAAAAAAATTTTTGGATGAATATAATTTTTTTTAAATAATGGTGTTTAATTATTTATTAGGTTTGAAAATGAGTGAAGATAAAAAAGAAAATAGGTTTTAATGTGCATAATGGTTTAAGATAAAAATTTCGTAATGTGGAAAAATGAGGCATTTACACGCAATGCAATAAAGATGTTTGGCATATGCATACAATAATAAGATCTGTTTTTGAATAAAAATTATTAAAAGAGCTAATTGGTTGAGTTTCCTAGATTTTAAGCCTTATTAAAAAGATTAATATGGCGAATAGTATAATGGCTTTAAATCTTCGCATTAATACGTTTTACCAATTTAAAAAAAAAAAATTAAATAAAAATAACTTACTCAGTTCAGATGACATGTGTTTTAAATTGATTTTTTGCAAAAGATTTCTTAATCCCTTATATAACTTCTTAAATTCTTGATTTTCTTTAAATCAAAAACTTTTTATTTTTTTAATACTTCCAAATTCAAGTGTTTTCTTCCAGAATTCACATCCTGTAAGACTATATTTTCTATCTGAGCAAAATTCTTGAGGCAACGAAAAATTAAAATTGATGTTTTAGAAATTATTTACCAAAACGTTATAGCATTTTAAATGATATCAAGATAAAAATCGCGTGTTGTAAAATATCATATCCAAAAATTTAGCTATTTAGAACGTTTACACATTATAAATTATAATATCTGCTTACTAGTGTTATTAATTCCGAATAATTTACATATTTTAAAGTAGATGTATACCAGAGACCTGCAGAGTTACCATTTGTACGGCCCGGCCCAGATTTTTTTTTAAAAAATTTTTTGGCTCAACCCGGCCCGGATAATATATTTTATTTATTTTTGATTTTTACAGCTCATAATGGCGATTTCAAATATTGGGTTTTAAAATATATGTCCCGGCCCGGATATCTTTTTTTAAAAAAATTCAGGTTCGGCCCGGGTAAATTTAAAAAAACTTGGCCGGGCCTGCAGATCTCTGATGTATACAGTGTCGTATCTAGGATTCAAGAAGTTGATGCTTGAAAAAGTTAAGCTATTTAGTATATTTTTCGACACTCAAAATTAACACCCACTGCTGCACAGAATGGGAACGAAGCAGGAACGTAAAGTCACGGGTCCTGGGTTAAAAAAATTTCATTTATTTAATATTCATTATCAGCAGATAGAGGAATTATTAATTGCCTTCCAAAAATTAAAAATATGGTAATTAATTTTAGTCTTTTAATTAATATTGACCAAAAATCATATGGGATATATATTGGAAAAAATAATATTTAAATCAAAATGAACACCGTTAACGTTCGAGACAAGATGATCGCCATTCCCGCTCTAATACGAGGTTAAGTTGCCTCTAAAACTAATGAGGGACTGGACTCTTTTAGGCCAAGTTTGGTTCTGCACCTTTATTTTAGTAAATTTCTTACCGTATTTATTAAATCCATTTTATTTTAGATCTATATTTGCTAATCGGTTCGACGCAGGCCATTTCAGTAGAGCCAAACAGTTGTTAGGTAAAATTTTGGTCGATTTTGATGTATGACATGACTGTAGAAAAAAAATCCCTTTTCGGAAACCGTAAATTCAATTAGCTTTCTCGATAAATAATTTGATATAATTCCTTCGATAAGGCATGCTACTTAAAACTTTTCCTGTCATACAAATAAATAACACTTCGAGTAATCAAACTCATATCTGCTTTCATCGGTGAAAATTATCTTCCACATTTATTTAAATTGATTCCAGAATTGATGTTCTTTCGCCAATTTGAATCTTTTTTGCTATTGCTGGCATATCAACAAAGGCTTTTTTTGTCATAAAATGTGAGAATTAGATAAAGATTTTTTTAAGATATTAAATGTACCTTATAAAATGAAAAAGCCATGAAATAATCTTATAATTGCAAATAAAAATTTCAATATATTCCATTCAGATATAATACCACTTCATCAAATTTTTTTAAATCTAATCTCGTTGAGTTGTAATTTTGCTACCCCCTTTTCGCTGAGAACTGTTAGTTTAAATATTTTTGAACAGAATTGGGCAGGTCTTTAAAGAAAAGAATCTACTTCCTAATTTAAAAGTAACGCCGGTTTTACTTTTGGGGTGCAATAAAATATAAAATTATAATAATTATAATCTCAAATATACGTCATTGCGCATATAAACAATAAATTTTTTCTTAAAAAAGTTTAATATAACAGGAGTATTGCATAAACAAAATTATTATCTTTCAAAAATAACGCTGGGTGTTATAAAAATGATTATATAACATGCTAATATTGGTCAAAATTTAGAAACGTCTCCTTTAGCTTAATGCCAAGTCGAAGCCTTGCCTGCAGTGCAAAGTTACTTCATTTTCCAAAATACTTTAATTTTACCATTTAGTTCGATGACTGTCTTTAGTCTGATGTGCCTCAATTCTTTTTAGGCATTTTTAATCAGGACTAGATGTTGGTCACTCTAGAATATTTATATATGGTTTTTTTTAAAAAAAAATTGTATCTTTTGAAGGTAGTGTCAAATTATCATCATTAATTATACCTTTGGTGATTTGTGTCTTGACATATTTTGAAATTTAATGTCCTTTCAACGAAAGTAAAATTACTTGCACTATTTGCATTGATACAACCCCCTAACCATGTTGGGAATTTATCTATTATGCTACAATTCTTATCCTATCATTAAAATAAAAAGTATACACAGTTAATGTATAAAAATTATAATTACTTTATAAAATTTATAATCTAAAAAATGAATCATTCTGTCGAAATAGATAATCCTTTTTGTCATTTCTCTCAACTTTAGAGTCAAATATACATGATTTAATAGGTGATTTTTTGAGATTATTCGCTGCACTACGTTTATCATCGTATATGGCCACCTTTGAACATCCTTTGGCCAATGCGAATAGAATTTATGGGATTACTTAATATATTAAAATTATCTTTGATCGTTTCCATACTTATGTGGAATTTTTCGGCTAAGGGGGAATTATTCATTTATTTTTCACATAAATAAAAATTTTCTTTTGGATAATTAGATTAATTAAGATTCTACGAGGCATTTGAAATTAAAATTCAAAAACAATTGTAAAAAATTAACGTTTACCTTTATTTTTTTCATGTTCAAGAGCAGACGATCATTTTTTCACTCTACTAGTTATGACCATAAAACAATGACTAAAACATGAAATTCAAAACGGTATAATTTTTTAATTAAAATAGTTTCTATAAATTGCCAGAAATTATTGATCCAAAATAGATTTAAGTAACCATTGGAACTTGAAACTAACCTTAAATTACTATATTAAAATCATTTGAGTCGAAATAGAGCTACATACAAAATTTTGAGTGCAAAGATAGGTAAAAGGGACAAAATGTAAAGGCGTTATTTTTAAATTTAGATAGCAGATAGATACCGATTGTATAAAAGAATGTATCTTTTTATAAAAATATATTTCTTTTGCACAACACGTCATAAAGTCGATGAGGAATTCAAGATATTCCGTGGTTCACAAAAAATCCCTATCATCGCTTTCCCGATCTGCTATAAAGGAATTATGTGTTACCCGAAAATAAGAGTGGAAATAAAGAGATGTATAAACCAACCAACAGAAGATAAATTCCAAATAAATAATATTATATTCTGTTGTTTATTCTAATGGAACTATCTTAAAACTATTCAAATTGTTAAGAAATTTTTTCAAATTATCAAAAACTCTAAAACAATAGAAATACATAATATTTCGACCACTTTAATAAAATATGTATATATCATTAATAATAATAATATAATAAATACACAAACCAAAAGAGAAATCATTATAAAAAAAATAATTTAATCAAAACAATCAACAGTAGAAATTACACAAATATTACGATATACCAAGTATAATGTGTCCAAGGGGAAATCCAATTGTTAAACAGTGAAATATAAATAAACATACTTTATTCAACCCTATAAGATAAGATGATTTTAATTCAATGATTATTATAATTGACTTAAAAAAATCAAAAAATTGAATAAAGTTAGTATGCCAAAATATAAAATATTAATTTAAATATAAAACAACGAATACAATGCAAGAATCCATAGAAAAAAAGAGGTTATAAGTAAATATTGAATTTTTAAACAAAAGTATAAAATATTCTCTATCTTTTGTCAAGAAAATTTAAAAGATTCTTTTAAAAATAAATAGATACAAGTATTTTATTAAAAATTGTAAAAAGATACAATGTACAAGGTACAAAAAGGATCTTGTAATTTAGTAGGGATGTGCCGATCCACAAATTTTTCGCCGATTCAAATCGATATTCGATTCGTACATATCCGATATTTATATTGATTTTTATTTACCATCTATCTTTGTATCAATGTCATAAATATATCAATATTTTCTACTTTAAAAAAAGCCAACTATCTTTTACGAATGATTAAGTGTATCTTATATTTTTCATAAGTTAATATTCTTATTTAAAGTATTTGCAAAGTTTATGAGTGAATGTAGATTTTTAAAAAGGACCAAATCAAAATTTTAACCAAAATATTATTGCCTATTATGCCTCAAAATTTCGCCAATAGAACTCCAAACCTTTCTGATATCTGTGGGAAAATTCAATAAGCATGGGTAATTTAAATTTCAAGTTAATCGTTTATAAAATTGGCTAAATCGAGCCGTTTAATAACATTAATTGAATGAGACTCGCTAGATGTTTTAAAATCCTTCTTTTTTGCAGATAATATTTAAAAAATAGTGTCATTTTTTTTAAACATTACATCAAATTAATCGTTTATTAATTCCTTTCATTAATTTATTATGAAGTTATTTATAAAATAAAAAAATTATATGAATATTTAATTATAAAGTAACTAAAAACAATTAAAAATATCGGATCGAGATCTGATATTTTCTGAAAACGCTAAATATCAGTTCCGATCCGATATTATATATCGGCACAGTCCTTTAATTTAGATACAAATATTCGTGGTACTGCCCAACTCTTTTTAAATCTTATGATATAACTAATAAAATCATCAATGCTTGACAAATTTTAGTTTCAAAGACCCTTCTTTATGAAATTTAAGGTTTGGATTCTTATATTCAAAGGAGTTGGATGACCGCGCATTATGAAATTAAAATGTAAATTTAAAAAAAATTTTAAACACAAAGTGTTTACGATAATAGTACATGAAAACAATAGATACAAACCTTTAGCTTATCTGAAATATTCATAAATTTAATTAATGGCGATCAATTTGTTCACGATGTCAAACTGGCATTCATCATGATTTGTATAGTATTTACTAAAATCTAAGTATCTTATAGGACATTTTGGTCTCTATTAGATTTATAATTAAGAATTTATCACATTATTCTCTATATATGAATGTATATTTAAAAATAAATTTTATTGTGATCTAATTTGATTTAGGGTATATAATATATTTAATTACCGTGGTGCACAAATATAACTATATATTTATAGTTTTAATTTTTTTTATAAGGACTACCAAAAACTCAATTTCTTAAACCCTATGATTCTATGCCCTAAATAATAACGAGTGAGCAAAGGTTTTGCTATTTGTTATTGGAATTAAAAATTATGTATTAAAGTTTTTTTTATAGATATAAGATTAGAATGATGCACATGGACATGTCCGGTATAAAAACAATCTCTTTGGGCTTAGTCAAGCAAAATTGATTTTAAAATTATCACAAGCCGATTAGGACCTCAGAAATAATTCAAACTATTTTGTTTTCCTAATGATTTCATAAATCTTTTTTTTGATTAAAAAAAATTAACATTTTGTAATTAATTAATATACCGGGCATATTAATCTTCAAAAAAATCGGATTGCAATAAAAGAATTCATTCAAGTTGTGCCAGGAGTGCACAATGGATTCGTGTTCTTAAAGGTTATTTGTTAGGATTAAATCATTTTTAATCACTGATTAGTTGATCGATTTTCTCCGCGTTTTTTTTATAAACTAATCCAAGTATTATAAAAGATCTTTCATCTCAAAAAAACTGAATGTTACAACTTTTACGAATTATAAAAAAAAACACAGAACATTCAAATTATATAATGAATGCAAAAATGAGCTCAATTATTAAAATATAATTTAATATTTGCTAATGATGGGTTGAATTAACTAGAGTTGGCATTGAAATTAAATTATATTTTTGTTAATAATCAATACCAAGGTAATCACAGCAGTTTAATCCATGCGAGCAACATTCGATATTTTGACTTCTAGAAATTTTGCAAGTTTGGGCCTTATGACAGGGGGATTATTCTGTTGGATTGGGATGACGAAATTAACTCACCAAATCAGTGTACGGAATCCCCCCCCAGACAATAAAATGTTAGAAAAAATCAAAAAAAATTTGTCATTTTCTTAATGAATTTTAATTTTTTTAAACTATCTATTTTTTATTAAATTTCAACTACAGATTTTAAAATTTAAAAAAGTTTTTAAATTTATATGATGGCCATTTTATTGAAAAACATCTTATTTTTTATTTGATAATTCTGAAATGGCTAAAGAAAATTGAATGTTTTTAGGTCTTTTATATAAATATAGGATTGTGGTATAATTTCTTAAAAGCTCATCTACACCTTGGAATTTTTTTCAATTTCAAAAATTAAATATCATGAAAAATTGATTGTGGTCGTTTTTTGTTGAAGAGTGGTACCTACTTTAAAAAATGAAAATTATTTGAAATTGATACAAATTCAATTAGTAAGCAGAATTTTAATTTTTTAATGCATAAGCATTTTGAAATATCTAAATTTTTGGAATATATTTCAAAACTAGATTTTTTGTTTTTTTAACATTAAAATTCTGAGGTATTACCTCAAACAAAAACAAACATTAACTTCATATTTTTATTATATTTATTAATATTGTTAATTTGTATAGCTATTTGTTTATACAATAAAAAAAATAGCAAACAATATTTATAAGATGGGTATATGATTTAATTCACTAAAAACTAGTTTTACTAACTTTGCTCTAAGCAATTTCTAATTTGAAATGAACACTAAATGATGAAAGAAATAAATATTCTTTCCACTGACTTGATCTAAATTGTTTTATTATTTTACACATTAGATTTCCCAGTGCTAACCACCATTTATTATGTTAGTTTATTATTATTTCATCTAAAATACTTTTAATAAATGGATCAGATCTAGCCTATAATTTTACTAAGATATATAAGTTATTGACATTGCTATTTTGGTCACAAAAGTTGTTGAATTTTCAAAATATTTAAGGTTTAGACAATAATAAATGTACCAGTGAAGTATTATAATGTTAATATATTCTAAGGATGGTGGGCAACAGAAAATCATATAATAAAGAAGCTAATTTAGATATAATTTAATCTTTCTTTTAAGTCTGTTACATAAATAACTAAATATTTTAAATTACTACCTATGCTTATTCTATTTGTGTAATATTTCGTTATAATCAATCATTTATCCCCAGAATCAATAAAAAAAAGTCTCCTTTTATTAGTTAAATTTTTTTTTATCATATATAATTTTAAAAAACTAGCCTCTAATAGAGACAGGAAATTTTCTAAATTTTTTGATCTTAGGGCTATATCAAAAAATTCCAATCTCATAATCAAGATTAAAATGATGGGAATAATAATATTAAATAAAATTAATTTTAAATTTGATTTATGAAATTCTCACAACTAAAATACAGTAATAACTTATTAGATTTGTTTAAAAATAGATATATGCTAATATATAATATAATTGACTTTTTATTTGATAATTCACCCTTTATTTGACAAAATATTAAATTATATTTGTGAGGATTGTCAAATCTCTTTTTACAAATTTTATATAATACAATATTAGTATATATAGAAAATTTTTATTAAAAATCTTAGGATCAAGTAATGAACCTGACAAATACTGAAAAAACAGGAAACTTGGCCACCAGGTAGCGGTTGAAATTTTCAATCCACTCTTTAGAAAATAACTATTTAATTCACATTTAATATTTTTTTATACATTTAAGGCTTACTTTATGAATATAGTTTATTTTTTATTTTGTATGTGTAATTATTTTTTATAAATCTTTTTACAGATAAAGTCTTTAAACTTATTATTTTTAATCCACTTTATTTATATTAAAAATTATTTTATCTCTTTCATTTAAAAAAATTTCGCAATTTATTCATTTTTCTTTTATTATTTCTAACATTTAAATCGAATATTTTAATTTAAACCTAAAGGATATAATGTAATAATTTATAACTTTAAAGATGTAAAAATATATTATAATGTGAATAAATTAATTTTCTAATGCTTGAAAATATTAATATATAAATTTCGGATTTTATGAATTATATATGATTGAATATAGTTAACATTATGCGATACAATCTTACTGATTTCATCATATTGATGCTGATATTAAAAATTTCGCAAATGATATTGGAATTAAAATTTGAAAATTTGAAATAATATCATTAAGATAAGGATAGTCAAATAAGTCTTAGGCACAAATTACTTTTGCTCCTACAATCATACATATCTTTAAACATTTATGTGTTAAATTAGTACTATATTTATTTATTAATAATATTTTTTATATCTAATGACAGGATATATATATATGTTGAAAATTAATAGCATAAAATATTGTTTAGCTAAATTTAGGAATAATATTATACGATATGTCGACATAAATTTATAAATATTAATATATTCAATTTGATATTCACATTGGCTTAAGCAGCGGGGGAGGGGACAAATCCCCGCCCCCAAGTAATGAAGATGCCGGATAAATTTTTCAAAAATATTAATGTTTATATTAATTTATATTTGTTAATATTTATTCCTATCTCATATTAAATATATATTTAATTATATTTATTTATCAATTATTAATGCTATTACTGAAATATCACAATGGCCTGAAAAAAATATTTCCCCAGAAGCAAGAAAATTATTGGATTCAATACTTATTTCAATTTTTTTTTCTCATTCGAATATATTATTTAATTATACAACTATTTTATGTAATACTTTTCAAAAACATGGCATTAACATGATTAAGAATATGAGAATAGCGGAGAGCATTTTATTAGAACTCAAGTAAATTAGGGCTAATGTTGATGAAGAATTTCAATTTTATATGTTATTGTTGAGTCAAAAGGAGAGCCCGGATATTTTTAAATAAATTATATTTATTTTTGATTTTTGTAGCTAATTTCAAAAATTTGGTTTTAAAATATAATTTTTTTTAAAAAAAATCAGGCTCGGCCCGGGTGTTTTATTTAAAAAAAATTTTGGGCCCTGCCTGGGAGTATTTAAAAAATTAAAATACGGTCTAGCCCGGGAACCGGGCCTACAGATCTTTGAAAACATACCTAAGAATTACAACTTCTGAAAGTGGATTGAATGGTTTGGTTCTTTCAATTATTTATAGGCATTTGACGCCAAGCAAGGATGAGTAATTGAAAAATTAGCTCAATCCCAACGAAGATTAGTTTTCATATTGTGAATATAATACAAAATACAATTATTCCTAAGAAACTTTTTGTGTATTAATATTTATATCTCCAACATTAAAATTTTTTACTTTATATATAAATTTTAAAGGCTTAAAAAATTTAAATTTCTATTTTGGGTCATTTAAGTGATTCATATGGTGGCTATATTCACTTTATATTTTTTAATTCATATTTATTTTATAGTTTTTTATGTGCCGGTGTAACGTGATATTTTAACTTAAATTTAAATTAACTTCCTTTAGTAATACTGACATTTATGATTGACGTTAAAATAAAATAACATTATAAAATTTAGTGTGATATTTTAACTTAATTTAAATTAACTCCCTTTAGTAATACTGACATTTATGATTGACGATATAATAATATTTTATTAAAATATCATTATATAATTTAGTAATACTGACATTTATGACCGACATGTAATGTTATAAGTTTCTATTATTTAGTAATACTGACATTTATGACTGACATGATATGTTAAAAGTTTCTATTATTTAGTAATACTGACATTTATGACTGACATGATATGTTAAAAGTTTATATTATTTAGTAATACTGACATTTATGACTGACACATAATGTTAAAAATTTCTAATATTTGATAATATTGACATTAATAACTGACATGTAATGTTAAAAAGTTTCTATTATTTAGTAATACTGACATTTATGACTTTATATTGCAATATTAACACTTATGACTGACAGGTGATGCTTAAAGCCTATATGTTTAGCATATTGACTCTTATGAGTGATAAATAATTAAAAATTTTTAATATTTAAATTTATGAGATAGATAATATTTTAATTTCTGATATACCTATAAATAATTTAGCGTCGAAAACGTCATAACTTAATTTTAAAAAAGTTTGATTGAAATCTATATACACATGGTAGGTTAATTTATTCATATTTAAACATAAATTACATATCATTCATCAAATGACTCAATATCGTACTTTTTATAAAAATATCTAATAATAAAAAATATAAAAAGCTATATAATATAAATTAGCAATTGAATGACTTAACTCATCAAAAAGATGACTAACTATTGTTTTTTTATAAAAAAAACTATTAATAAAATTATAAAATGCAATAAATATATTGTATTAATTCCAATGATATAATTCGCTATTGAATAACATTTAAGAAAAAGATGAAGTATTAAAAAAAATATAAAATGCAATAAATATAATTTAAATTTGCAATTGAATAGATTCCAACTTATAAACAGGATGTCAAACTATTGTACTTTTTATAAAAATAACTATTAATAAAAATATAGAGTACAATGACATTTAACAAAAAGATACTTACCAATTATCATCTTTCAACTAAATTGGAATTAATATAAAATGCAATAAATATAATTTAAATTTGCAATTGAATAGATTCCAACTTATAAACAGGATGTCAAACTATTGTACTTTTTATAAAAATAACTATTAATAAAAATATGAGTACAATAACATTTAACAAAAAGAAACTTACTGATTATCATCTTTCAACTAAATTGCAATAAATATAATGGAATAAAAATATTAGAATAGATAATCACATTGATAAAATTCTAACAAAATGATTGTTATTTACATGGGCGAATAATAAGCCCACTTATATTGGGTATAGATTAATATATTTGTCTGCAACAATGTGGCCATAAATATTTCTACCTCTGTTGCCCAGACACCGTTTCCCATAACATTTCTGTTAGCTAGGTATTCCTCTACAGGATATCCTATAAATTTTCCCATTTCCAATTTGAAATCTTCGCTCCTCATAAAAAGAATGCATTCCTCCCTAAGGTAATTATAATTTTCCTGGCTATTTGATATCTCTTGACTTATACACCTATAAACATGGTAAATAATTTAAATATTATATATAGATTCTAACCTAAAAAAACAGTTCCCATCACCCACAATATGATCGTTTGTAAAAATCTCTTTTAATATACAACATTTTATCTTGGGATAACATAAAATTACTTTGAAATTGAACCGTTTAGAGTGATATACCTTCCAGTTCCTTGTTGTGAGCAGAAAAATTTACCAATTTTCTTTGGTATTATTGCTTCCACAATAATTTGGTCATCTAAATTTGATAATTAAGTAATAACATATTTTTAAAAAATATTACTACCCTGATCTTGTACACCTATATATCCTTCCTCTCTCACTATACTTAATAGCTATTATTGTATCTTCACCAAAAGTATCTGTATCCAAAAAAATATATTAAATAATTTTATATATTATACCCTTTCTCTTGACGCGTTTTATTTTAGTATCCTCCTTTCTAAATTTCAACCCTAGAATTTAAGATTTATCAAAAATATAATTTTTCCAATTTTTAAAAAATAAAACTTTCTCCTGAAACTTTTATTCCACAGGACATTTCTTCAAATAGTGCTTCTTCTAATGAAAATATAATAATTAAAAATATATTTTCCTTTTTCCCAAATGCATTTGTTTACCTTCTCCTTCTCCAACTATAGTTTTAACAAGCCTACAAACTTAATTATTTGTTCAATATTATTTTAATTTAAGCAATATTTTAAAACAATATTCTATTAATTCAAAGAGAATTTTAAATTGAGTATTGTATCCTAGCTTATAAGAGCAATATTTACTACCTGATTATGTTAAAGTACATTTTAAAAGTGTTGCAAGCTTTTTGGGTGATATCAGGCTAAATTTAAGCAATATTTTAAAACAATATTCTATTAATTGAAAGAGAATTTTAAATTGAGTAGTAAATATACCTTTCAACTAGTTTATCATATGTCTTGTTGATTCCAAAGTGACCTGATAATGACATTTCTGTGAGATTTGTCTCACATCCTCCATGGAATGATTCTAAAAGTTTTTGTTTTTCGCTATAGAGTTAGATAACTTGAGCATTATGTAGGTTATGGTATAATTTGTCATTCTCTAAGAAAAACTTGGCACATTTGACTCTAAGGTTTCTTTTTAAGCCATGATCGCCGACATAGGAGTTTGGGTAGGTTTTGCATTTTAGGTAATTATAAATCCATTGATAACATCGAGATTCACTATTTAATATTTTTATATTAAAATAATAAAATATTTTACTTTTTACGTGAACAAGTTACTTTTTATAAAGGATGTCTAATTTCACCAAGTAGATAAAAAAAATTAAAATTCGATTCAAAATTTAAATTCGAAAATCTAATTTACAAGAATTTCAGCAATATTAAAAAAAATTGCATGATCATATAACTCTCCCTATCAATTTACATTGTAATTAATATATTTGTTACTAATTAACTCCCTCCTTAACACTATTTATCAAAGGGGTGTTTATCTATCATAGTTATTACTTAACTCAGAGGTATGTGATAATGGGAGTTAATTAATCACGCTACACCGGGTCTGAACCATGGGTCTGTGCTCGGGGTAAAAATTTAAAAATATTTATTTTATTTATTGCTTTTTATGTAAAAAATTATTTTTTACGATCCCGATCCTTAATTTAATAAGGATCAAAAATCCGGGATAATTGACAAATTTAGGATCAAATCCAGGATCGGCGATCTTTTGATTCGATCCTTTAATAACTCTGGGCCCTATATATATTTAAGTTTCAAAATCCTTATTTTTTTCATATCATAAGAATACCTGTCATGCATGCAACAGATAAGCTGTTAAATAGGACAAAACATATGACAAATTTTTAAACATCTGATTTTAAAATTTTTTACTATATTTCCTTGTGGCATGCCTCCTTTTAAAGTATAGCTAAATTGTTTATATATATGCCTATTTAATAAATAACAGAAATTTAAAACGATTTCCTACGTCTTATCTGGAGCAGGTATTGTATTCTGCGGGGTTTGTCTTTATAAAGGAAATGAAAATTTTTACAAAAAAATTATCATGCCAGTTATTTTCAATTTAGAACCAGAAACAGCTCACGCTCTTAGTATAAATTTATTAAAATGGAATATATATCCTAGAATGACGATTACTAAATCGGATATGTTGGTTAATTATTCATTGTTGATATATTTTATTAAAGTATGTTCCAATATGATACTTGCATAGAAAGTACAATATTTAGGACTTGATCTTGCTAATCCAATAGGCTTAGCAGCAGGCTGTGATAAAAATGGGTTAGTTATGAAGCCATTTTATCAAACTGGATTTAGTTTTATTGAAGTAGGATCTGTTACACCATTGCCTCAAATTGGTAATCCTAAACCTCGAATATATAGACTCATACCAGATACTGCAATAATTAATAGGTAATTTTATTCATTTTTAAAATATTTAACATTAATTATGTGTTTAATTCTAAGTGGGAATGGAAGCATTTATTAATAATTATGCCTACAAATGTAGTGTTAAGCTTTTCTATAAATTACCTTTTATTTCAATTGTTGGAATATTTTAAGATAAAACAGAGTTGCAAACTATTTTGATTTTTCTTAAGCATAAAATATAAAGCTTATCAATAAGCATAATAACATTTGAAGTGCATAGCAAAATAAAAATATTTAATTTTGCAAGCACTATAATTGTGGTTGGGAAAATTTTCAAAAATGTGTGTTCAAATACAAATACACTTTAAATAAATATAAATATTAAATACCCACAAAAAAATTTTGAAAAATATTTAATTACAAATACTTTGACTAATACTTTTTGCAAGTTGATTTTTATAGTAACACTGATAATTCTTATTATTAACCATTTTATAAAATCTTAATATACAAACATAAATTAAAAAAATCATATTTATTGCAGCAGTAGCATATATAAGTTATATTATAATTGCAAATTTCACCAATAATTAAATATTGCACATTTAAATGAATTATTGTATGCACAAAATTAATATTATAAATAACATAATATTTAGTAAAATAAAGCAAATAAATTATATTTAAAATTGAAAAAAAGAAGATATTATATATTTATTTTTAATATGATAGTTCATTATTTTTTAATATAATAAGTTTTTTAAACAAAATATTTAATCTATATTTATTTCGCCTATTAATCAAATCAAAATTAAATAAACTCTAACAGAACATAAGATGATGACATATACTTATATTTTAAAAAAATATTTTTTATAATCTTAAAATTATTTAATCCATTAATCAAATTAGCAAAGCTAAATAATCTGTTTACCAGAGCAGAAGATGTTTAAATATAATTATATTCAAATAATTATTTTTTATAGTTTTAAAATTATTTTGCACATTATATCTAAGTGCTCATCTTTAAAATAATTTTAACTTTTGTTGATTTTGGTAACATGAATTGATTAGGTTACACAATTTGGTTTCTTAATGTTGGTAGTTTTGGTTTGTTAATTTTGGTAGTATGGATTGATATGTATGTTGCAAAAGGCTTATATTTATAAACAAATTGACATGTGATACCTTTCACCTATCTCTAAATGTACTCCTACTTGATTAAATTTTTATATTATCATTGTACAGCTAATGTTATCATTATCTCATAAAACACCCAAAACTGACAACTTCTTAGACACTTCTTAGCCTAGAAAAAGGGTTAGCAATCAACAATATAACCAAAAGTTTTCTTACAAACAAAATTTCTATGCAACATACTAATCAATCCAAAATAAATAAACCAAATTGTTCAACCCAATCAATTCATACTTTCAAAATAAACATACCAAATTGTTCAACTCAATCAAATCATACAAAATCAGCAAACCAAAAAATAGTGCAACCCTAATCAATTCATTCTACCAAAATCAACATACCAAATTGCCAATTAATTCATACTACCAAGATCAGCAATTGTGCACATATTAATCAATTCCTACTATAATCATCAAACCATATTGTGCAACCCAATCATTCCATACTACCAGAATCAACAAACCAAATAGATATTCCTGCACAACATACCAATCAATAAAACCTATATGATCAAGCATTTATAATACCAAAGACAATAAATGTACATAAAATTTTTTTTCTTTCTAAAATGAGTATGACTAACAGTTGCAATGCTTATAGAAATATAGTCTTGCCTTAGGTATTTATTTTTATGAACATGGGCCCAGATTAAATTATGTATTAACTCAGGTAAACTCCCTTCAAATGAAATTTTATACAACAATATTGTTAAAATTGAAAAAACCCTTATTATAACTATATTTATCCTGATTTTTATGAATATTTTTAAATTGCCACCAACTTTGGTGAACCTATCTTTTAAATCTAGGATATTAATTTCTACTTTTTAAACAACACTTATTAAGGAAGTAAATTCAAATTTAATAAGTATTGTTATTTACATTTATCAAATTTTCAAAACCATAAAAATCATCTTCTTATACAAAAGAAAATAGAATAGCCTGCTTCATGGTTTCGTTTTCTTTTTGAATTATGTGGGCTTCACCCAGAAGCATTAGTTGCAAATATTTCTTTTTCTCACCACATGCTATCCATTTATTTTAAAATAAAGGTGTAAAAGAGTTGCCAAAAAGGCCCTCTTATACTCAATATCACATTCAAATATTGGGCCAAAGTGTTTATTCATCCCATTACCAATTAAAACAAAAATTAATAGAAATTTGCAGGACACACTCAAAAAAAGTGAACAAATCGATAGGTATCATTAAGTCTTTTACAAAGTCAGCTATGATACTCTTAAAACAGAAAAGGATGTTAGAGCAAAAAATCTAAATAGCTCAGTCTACCCAGAATTAAGAATAAAATTTAAGACAAGCATTGACAGAGCCTACTTTTATTTTAATTATATACTCTAATTAGGTTTCTAAATCATAAAAATTTATAATTAAAATATTAAATGATCTGGAAAATTTTAAAAGGTCAGCAATTCATAATAAAAATTCAAGATTAAAAAAACTCACAGGTAAAGTGAGATATTTATAATAGAACACATTTTTATAAATAATTAATTATATTATTCAAAATGAGAGAATGTATTTGCTAAAATAATTATGCATTAAAAAAAATCACAGGTAAAGTGAGATATTTATAATAAAACACATTTTTATAAATAAATATATTATTCAAAATGAGAGAATGTATTTGCTAAAATAATTATGCATTAAAAATTTAAATATCCATGATCACGTGTCAAATATTATCTACTACCTCCATATGAAAAAGTTGTTTATTCCATAAATCAGCAGAACTATGCTTGGCTCTGACATAAAACCTTTTATCAGGAAATTATAGGAATTGTAAACATAATAGCTTGATAAAAATATTATAAATTTATTAGCTTAATAAAAATAAACTCAATAGAACTGGTGGAATCTATATTTTTGTCCATATCAATCAGATGAGATATTAACTTTTTCGCTAACTCAGGTCAAAAATTTAATATTTAAATTAATAAATCATTGTTTTACAATTAAAATTCAATTTATAAAAGTATATAGAAAAGTTTTTTTTTGTATTCGTATGAAATCAAAAAGCTCGTTATAAATACTAAATACCTTTTAAAATATTCAAATAAATACTAATAAAAGGATTTATACCTAATATTTATATTCGCGTTACTGCCCAACCTTGACTATAATAATGAAAATTTCATAGTTATATATTTCAGAGACCTGCAGATGTACCAATTTAACGGGGGTGTGTTAACAAATTTTTTAGGCCTGATCCAGACAAAATTTTTTTTATGGCCTAGGTTTATAGAAAAAAGTTTTTTAGAGATTAACAAATATACCTAGTTGCCATTTCACGGTATGTTTTTCAGGTAATGTGAGATCATTTATAACTTTTAAAACTATATTTATTCTAAAATGAAAAATGAAAATTATTTTCATTTAATACCAAAAAAAGTAGGGAAATAATTAGGTGGTATAAAATTATTTTATTTTTTTTGCAATATAGATAAATTTATTTATAATATAATACTATAAAGTTTTGACATTAAATTTAAAAAAATGCATATGCAAAACTTATACTCATGATTAAAAAATTTCTTTCATAAATTATCGTAATAAAATAGAAATATATCTACCTTTTTAAGTTTAGATTACTTCTTTCTTCAAGAATCAGTTGACAAAAAATTCCACTCGTATAGTTTGTCCTAGAAGCAGGAATTCAAAACCGTTTTTGCCAGCTTCAAAACTGGAAATTGGCTGTGATCAGGGTTGGGTAAATCTTCAAAAAATGTATTCAAATATAAATACAAATATACTTCAAAAAAAAAGTATCTGAATTTAAATACATTTTCATAAAAAATATTTAAATTCAATTACTTTGACAAATACTTTTTGCAAGTCAACTTTTTTAGCACCCACACTAGAGGTCTGCAATAAGGGTTTTAGCCAACAAGCCCACCCACTCATTATTTTGAATATTTTAATACGCCAACTCATGGTATGCCAAATGTTTTAAAATTATTTTAATGGCTGGTTTGGCTATTTATTTATTTCAACGTTTTTTAAATTAAACTTATCAAATATTAAAATGATTTTAATAAAGTCTGTTCTACTCATTTGGCCTTAAAAATATACATAATTCATCCGCCTATCGCCCATCCATTGTGTTATTAATATTATTAACTACACTTGCCTAATGTTTAAAATATTCGAAAATATTCTAAATAACATATTTATTATTGCAAGTAGCATATCACTTATATTATGCAATAGAAAATTTAATTAATATCACAGAGTTACAGAATATAGAATAAATTGCTGGAGAATGAAAGGTTCATTTTTTATTTTGGCTTTTAGATGATTTCGCTATATTATTGATTTTTGATGATATTTGGAAAAAATTGACAAATTACACTTGGAAGATGGTGGCCACAAAATTTCTGCAAAAACATCTTATAAACATAAGAGCGTGATAGAATAGAAACTATTTTTCAAAAAACTTATATTTTGCTTTCGTTAATATACTCATTTTAAAAATATAATAGAATTTAAAATGGAAGATGATAGTTCTTCCCCTAACTCAAGTCATAAATTTAATATTTAAATAATTTAAATGTGGATTTATAAATTTATAATTCAATTTATAATTTAATAACAAGTATTTGTATTCTTCTGAAAGTCGTAAAATCGTAATAAATACAAATTTATTTTTATTTTTTAGTATTTAAAATACAAATATTGGCATTGCTGCCCAACCCTGGTTGTGATAAGCCGACCACTACTGTAACAGATCATCCACCTTATATGTTTTTTTATTTTATAGTTAAATATTTATGATATTCATTTAGAATTACCATAATCCCATTTGTTGTAAAAAAAGTGAGTTTCATTTACCACACTTTCCATTGGTATTTCCCTGATATAGTCCATTTTATAAGTTTTTGTCATTTTTCTCTTTTCCTGGCAACATGCGTAATTGTCTGAATTTACAGATAAAGAGAGAGATTTTATTTTTCTATTATATTTGTATTATACGCGATTTAAAATAATTGTTTCAGCCCGAGTTTTATAATTTGTGGCCGAGTTCGGGTTATAAAAGGAAAAAACTGCCGGCTCAGATATCTAAAAAAAATTTTTAGGCTCGGGCCGTGTTTATTTTAAAAAATTTACGATCCATTCCATATATCTGGGCCTGGCTTTGGTCTGAGCCTGTAGGTCTGATATATTTACATGGTCTAGCTTGTAATATCTTTTGTGCTGCTAAAAAGGATTACATTATTCTAAGTTTTTTAAAAAAATGGCCAAATTTTGGGCTGGCTCATAAGAATATTTTAGACAAGTTGCCTGGCCCAGCAAATTTTATTTTAGCTTCTGGTCAAGCTTTACCTTGATATATATTAAGAGAACAGAAAATTTGAACAACTAAAAATATTAAAATAAGGAAATATAAACTTTTCCTTGTATTTCCTTGATTTAAATACTATTGTGATGCTTTATTCTTAATTCAGTGGAATATATTTTTAGTTGGATTATTATTTAATTTATGTTTAATTTATTTCCTTTATAATGAATAAATACTTTCATGAAAAAGTAAAACAATCTTATTTCTTTTAATTAAAAATTATTGTTATCTCAATCACATATTAAAATTAATTATATTTTATTTAAAAGAATGGATTTTTTATTTTTAACATTTAATTTTCATCAATATTTTTTAATACATTTTTCAAGATTAGGTTTTAACAATGAAGGATTTGATGTTGTGTATAAAAGAGTCAAAGCTTTTAGGGATCACATGATTCAGCATTTCGATGATTATGGAGACCATAAATTAGGTGTGTCCGTATAATTACTTTTCAAGTCAATCATTAGTGTATTTGGGATTTTGATTTGGATAGGGGAGTCAAAAAAAATGAATCACATAATATTTTAATTAAAATCCCATTTATAAATTCTAAGTGTAGGGTCCCTTATATCTCCTAAATATGCCAATTAAGCCAATCATTAATATATTTCTTAATTTCTTTTATAGGGGTAAATTTAGGCAAAAATAAAGCTTCTACAAGTTTGTATCAAGATTACATAGCCGGTATTCGTAAATTTCATTCCGTTACAGATTACTTAGTAATAAATATATCAAGTCCTAATACCCCAGGATTGAGAGATATCCAAAGAGAAGGTTTTCTGGAACCATTACTATTTGAAATTAACAAAACCAAAAACGAAATAATTAAAAGTAAGATATTTATAAATAAAATTTGTTTTTTTATATTTATTTTAAATTAAATCTAATATTTGAGTTTCACTTATTTAATATATAGAACCTTTATCATTTTTGCACTCTTTTTAAATATTATTTTCTAATAAAAAACATTAGATCAAGTTTATTAATATTAGTAATAAAGAAATACATAATTATCATTTTAATTTTATTCGATATTTTTTATTGTTCATTTTAATTGGAGGTGGGCGCGGGCCTTGAAATTACGCGTTAAACAATGGGTCACGGCATGAGTGAATGAATTTTTAATTTCTAGCCACATGATCGGCCTACCAAATTACTGGACTAGATTGGACATAGTTAATCATGGATATTTTAAATTTTATATGATTATAAATTTACAATTTGATAATTATAAAAATTATAACATATATTTTCTAATTTACTTTTTTTAGAAAAAGGGATAATATTTCAAACGATTTCATATTTTATTAACATTTCTTTACTATCCTAATCATTTACACTTAGGTTAGATATCAATCAAAATTAAATACCTTAATAACTTATTTGTTTAAATTTATCTTATAAATGAGTCTCGGATATTTATTTAATTAAATTTATTAATCATCTTCTAAATTATTATTTGCTTTGCCAAAGGAAAAATTTGGATCCTCTTAATTTTTTAATAAATATATTTAGTATTTAAATGTGTCATAAAACTACAATGCAGCCCAGGAAGACAATTTTATAAGAATTGAATTACTAAAGCCCTTTTATAAAATTACATTAATACACACCAATAACCACATAAACTAATCTATTCTCTTTAAAAGTCTTACAGCTTTTACAAATATTTATTACAAAAAGCAGCATTATCATAATATGCTAGATTTTTACTGATTAGCTTTATTAGCACACTAATGCTATTCTATCATGTAAATATTTTTTATATTAATAGTCATTTTTTCCAGAAAAGAGAAATTTCTCTGTTTAAATATCAATGACAACTTTGAATTCAATGATTAATGGGGCCTTGCATCATAGATAGCTCGGTTGAAGCAAATTATCGCATATATTCGTTTGTCATGCCATTGATCAAATATAATATATGTACTTTAAAAAAATAAATTTGTGGAATATGAAATTGGTGGGCCATTGATCATTTATGACGCATAACATTGAAGATTCTCTATAAGATTAAACTAATTATTATTAAAAAAAATTAATTTTGAATTCTTAAAGTTTACTTATCAAATTTAGATCAGAGAAATGAAAAATTTCCTCTAATATTCCTCAAAATATCTCCCGACATGAATGATTCAGAAAATGACCACGTAGCTCAAACAGTTTTGAAATGGAACAAAGTGAGTTATATTTTATAAAAAAAAACATCTTTATATAATATTTATTTAAATTAAATATGCTTATGATTTTAGTAATAAATAAATCTAATAAAATCTTTTGTCCATATTATTAATAAATTAGATAGATTGATGAATGAACTTGTTAATTCTAATATTAAAGATACTTGTCATTTATTATTTTTTTAAAGTATGTTACACCAGAAAAATTTACAAAAACATGTTTTAAGCATTGCATTGATGGTTTAATAATAGCAAATACAACTGTTAGTAGACCAAGCGAATTGAACAGTGCTCCTGAGCTCATTAATCAAGCAGGTGGCTTGAGTGGAAAACCGTTATTTGATACGTCTACAAACTTAATCAAACAATTTTATCGAAAGACACAAGGTTTTAACAAATTATTAATTAAATTATTATTTAATGTTTCTTAATTAAATAATTTATTCATATTATTTAATGTGAAATGAAATTTATATATTATTCAGGGATCTGCATAGCCCAGCCAGTTTCTGCTCGTTAAGATTTTTTGCACAAGTTACCCTACCCGTTATTTAAATGTTTGTTTGCCCGATAAGTTTTTTACTAATTTCCCAGGCCTGAACCGTTACCCTCTTACGAATTTTCTGGCCAGCACATTTTTAATATTTATATCTATTTTTTTTAATGTCAATTAACACCTTATACTCTATATGGCTGTCTATTTCTAGAACAACAGTTTAATAAATCAACGGTAATTGGATCATATCACAATTAAGTTGTTTAATTTTTTGTGAATTTAGTATTTTAGTTAGACATCTCTTAAAGTATAAATATTAACTTATATATATCAAAATTTTAATTTCCGGGTTGGCCTATTAAAACTTTACAAAAAATCAGATTTTTTTTTTTATATATGAATTGTTCAGCCCGACCCCATTTCTTTTTTATTCACAAAGTTACCTGACCCAGCACGGTAAATTTTTGCATGGCCAGACTTCTAGATGGGTATGTTTGAATTGTTTTACCCGGTACGTTTATTTTTTGTAAAATTGCCGATCCAACCCGATAACTTTTTGACCGGCCCAAGCCGTTTAAAAATTTTAAAAAATTTGCCCGGATTTTGGAGGACCGGGCTTTGCAGATCTCTAGATTATATACTTGTTGCAATATCCGGAATCGATAATAATACATTATTAGGAAAAATAATGATAATTGGAGTGGGTGGAGTTAGTAACGGTCAAGATGCCTATGATAAAATAAGATCTGGAGCCAGCTTAATACAATTGTATACCGCACTCTTGTACCAGGGTCCACCTGTAATACCTAAAATTTTGAGAGAACTCGAAGCCTTATTAAAGTTATTATGATTTGAATATTACATATTTCTTGAATATCATAGAAATTTTTAAAAACGGTAATTACTTTTTCAAAAAAACTAATATTCGTAGTCAATAAATTTACTTACTATAAAATAGATTATATAATATCGAAAATGATATATTTTAAAACATATTTAGTTCTATCTAGATGCAGATACATAACCTAAAATGTATTTAGATACAAATATATACTTCCCAAGATAAATTAAGATACATTTTTTAATAATCATCTAAGGTGCGTTTAATGTTCGAAATTGATTTTTTTGGTAAAACTTAAATTCAAGCTTTTATTACTGAGCTGGAAGATTAATATTACACTTCTGAATAGCACCTTTATATATGGATAATCTTTAGATATAAAAAAATCACTACACTAATTATAATAATCATTCAAAGTTTGATGGGTGCATATCTTCTTATTCAATTTTTTCCTCTCATTTGTTACAATTCAAAACTTTGTCATCGACTAATTGCAGTGTCAAGTATTTTCTTTGCATTTGAAATTAAGTCCAATCAAGTTTGAAAAATTTACCGATCCTCTATTGATTGTTTCTAATATTTCTTCATCAGTATTACTAATATTAATCAACCAAAAATTTATAATAAAAAAACAAAAATGTGAATGTTATATAAATAGATACAACGTAAAATGTTGCGAGTTAAGATGCAGTTACAATATTTTTGTATCTAGTTACTTTAATAAGTCTGATGAATATGATAGAAAGAATCATTACATTAGATAGGTTACGTTAAATCAATATAGTATCTTTGCACATGTTTAAAAAAATATTTTTATATCGAATATAAATATTTATGCAGGAGAGATGGATATACTCATGTGTCTCAGGCCGTTGGAACTGATGTTAAATGACAATAACTCTGTAGAAATCTTCCTTATAAAACTTGGATTTATGATATTCATATATGATTTAATTATAAATGTTGAATAGATTTAACCGAAATATAGAATAAAACTAATTTTTTAAATACTTTAATAAAATGAATTATTATCATTAACTCTTTTTTAAAATTAAATAACAAGAATTTGTAAAGGATATATTCACGTATATTAAGGCTTTTTTAATGTCAAACAAAAAAGATGGTTTTAAAATTATATTTAGGGTGGACTCTCGGACCTCGACAAAATTTTCAAATTAATTTTTTCCCTAGCGCTTATAATCTTCTCGCTATCCTTGAAAAAATCTATTTTTTCCTCAATTTTATATTTTCCATTATTATTTTGATCTAAAATATTGGTTCTAATTGTATGGAACTCGGATCTTGAACCAAATAGTTGAATTGGTCGGACAAAACAGATTTAAATTTTTTCCTCGAATTGGGATAGATCTGAAAAATAGGTCCAATGCAGGACTATTACCCCCTTATTTCTATTAACTCGAGTGTATACAGGAAAATCCTAATTTATTCTAATCCTAATTTATTCTGAACTTTTCCTTGTTTTCCTGAGCCAAATAATATAACTCTTAGATAACTTATCCTTCTAAATATTCAGTATGCTTATTCGGCTTATATAGGCTATTTGAAGATAATTTGGTCCTGTGAGTAGTCTTAGAAAGGACAGGACCGATCTTGATATTAATTTGCTTTACTATCCAATTAATAATTTTTTGTTTATGTTATTTTTATAGAGGAGTTATTTTATTTTTGTGAATTTTTATTTTGCAATATGAAAATCATAAGTTTATCAGAGAAACTTTTACTTATAGTCCCAATAAACAAATAAATTAGATAAAAACGAAAATATTTTAAAAATAAAACCTGTCATGGATCGGTCTTTTATTTAGGACCACATTTTGTAAAGGTGGTCCGGATCATAGACTCCGTGACCTTCACTATTTGTAAATACTTTTTATATTTTAGTAAGGTAAATAAAGTTAGCTTTAAAGTAACATTAGTTCTTTTTCTGGGGATATAGTACTGTTGTATGCAAATATATATTTAGATGAGCCCTTCTTAATTGGGTGGTATTCAAATTTATATAGATGAACTTTCATTGATTTTGTTGTATTCAAATAAATATAATTATTTTAAAATGTCTATGAATATGAATATTTTAGATTATAGTTGAAAAAGAAACATATAATTTTTCATTACTTAATTTTGTTATGAATTTTTACGAAATTATAATTTTTGGAATATTAAAAGTGGAATAAAATAAAAAGATTTGAAATAAAAGAAAATCATTCTTGAAGATAAAAAAAGAAAAAGGATATTAGAATTAATCTGGTTACGATCTAAGACTAGTGATTATACTGAGGGTAACATCAGTAAGATTACCAAATTCAATAAATTATATATATTGCATTATGTTCAGTCTCTCCCACTAGCCTCAGCAATATATATCAATCCCAAATTGGTACAGTGGTGCCTTATAGTGATTGATCCAGGCTTTAGAAGATCAAAGGTCAGTCTAATTATACATTAGAACTAGGTAAAAAAAAAATAAAATAAAAAATAAATATATATAAATTTTTTGATAATTTCGGTTTTCTTATTGATGTTATATAAAATTTGGATTATTGTATTGGTTTTATTCGTATGTTTATATTCATTTAATTGTTTAAGATTAATTAAAATTATTTTAATCAAGTGGTTATTGAGTACACGTTAATGTATATTACGCAAATAAATTTATTAAGTTTAATACTTGAAAATATAAGTATAATTATATTTTTGTTGCTAATTTTAAGTTTCACGTTAGGTTAAGAAATACGACTTGCGTTAAGATAAGATAGAGAGTAAAGAGTTAGAAAATATTAAGAATATATTAAGAGAGGAAGATAAGAAAAGAAATATAAACAACTTCATACGAACGGATAATTACAGACAGATCATTTGCTATAGTTGTGGTCAGCCGGGCCACATGTCGCGCCAATGTGAGATAACGAAGAATCTAAGATGCGCGAGGTGTGGCAAGAATGGCCACGTGGCTATAAGTTGCAGAGTAAACAATTCAATTGTAAGGTGCAATAGTTGTGCCCAAGAAGGACACACAAGAAAATTGCAATAAATGACTAAGAGAGAGATATTTTAATTTTAATGATAAATTTTGTAATGATAATAATTTTTCTAATGTTGATAATTTTAATTCAGGTAAGAATAAATATTTTAATTTTAATGATAAATTTTGTAATGATAATAATTTTTCTAATGTTGATAATTTTAATTCAGGTAAGAATAAATATTTTAATTATAATGATAAATTTTGTAATGATAATAATTTTTCTAATGTTGATAATTTTAATTCAGGTAAGAATAAATATTTTAATGTTAATGATAAATTTGGTAATAATAATATTTATTCTAATGTTGATAATTTTATTTCAGATAATAATAAATATTTTAATGTTAATGATAAATTTTGTAATGATAATAATTTTTCTAATGTTGATAATTTTAATTCAGGTAAGAATAAATATTTTAATTATAATGATAAATTTTGTAATGATAATAATTTTTCTAATGTTGATAATTTTAATTTAGGTAGGAATAATTATTTTAATGATAAATTTTGTAATGATAATAATTTTTCTAATGTTGATAATTTTAGTTCAAGTAAGAATAAGTATTTTAATGTTAATGATAAATCCGGTGATGATAATGAGTGTTTTACATTGGCGTACGCAGCGGGGGGGGACAGGGGGACAAATCCCCCCCCCCACACACAAAGCCAAAAAATGCAGATGCCGGATATATTTTTCAAAAATATTATTGTTTATATTAATTTATATTTGTTAATATTTATTCGTATCTCATATTAAATATATATTATTAAGTTATTTTATCAATTAATTTCGATTTCAAGTTTTCCGGCGTAATATTTACTTATTATTTTCAAATTTTTAGTGGCGTAATATTTATCTACCATTTTCAAATTTCTAGTCAAATAATAATTATTTCTGAAACTTCTGGTCCAACAGGGAAAAAGAAGTTGCAACCTTGTCCAACGAGATAGAGCCTCTTCCATCAAGCACGCTATTAAGGAGTTAGAAGAGCCAATTATTTGCTATTACTGAAATATTACAATGGCCTGAAAGAAATATTTCCTCAGAAGCAAGAAAATTATTGGATTCAATGCTTATTTCAAATTTTATTTCTCATTAGAATGTATTATTTAATTATACAATTATTTTAAGTATTACTTCTCAAAAACATGACATTGACTTGATTAAGAAGATGAGAATAGCAGAGAGCATTTTATCAGAACTCAAGAGTTTCATATTTTATTGTTGAGTCGAAATCAGAGCTATACGTGTTTAATATTTGTCTCCCTCGACTTGTAGCAAGGCAAGCTCATCGTTAAAACATTAATATAGGATAAGTAGAAGAGTATATATGCAGATACATTTATAACCCAAATAAATGAATTTTTAATATATCATGCAGCACTTACATCTGCAAATATTACTTCCACAAAAGCCTTACCAACCTTTTTCAGATGGTGATAGAAAAAAAAAATATTTGTTAGATTTTTATTATGAAGATGTTAAAGTATCTTATGATGCCTTACTAGCTGAATAACTATGTTTATAAGATAAACTATAGTTGATATAGACCCAAAAAATGCTATGGATGCTCTGCATTATTTCAAACACATTTTAGATTAAATTCCCAATGTATTAAAAGGGTTTATAAACTCTTCCCATTAGTAAACTAATGAGAGAACACTCTCTTTTTTAAGAATAACAGGCCTCCAGAAGTACTATTTGCAGGGCACGGCCCGGATTTTTTTTAAAGATTTTTTACGCTATTTTTAAAATTTTTTTTAGGCCGCTCGGCTTTTTTTTTAAATTTACAGGCTTGGCCCGGCTTTTTTTAAAAAAAAATTTTCAGGCCCGGCCTGGATTTTTAAAAAATAAATTATATTTATTTTTTATTTTTATAGCTAATAATAACGATTTCAAGGCTTGGTTGTTTTTTTAAAAAAATTTAGGTCCGGCCCGGGTGTTTTTTAAAAAAAATTTTGGGCCCGGCCTTGGTATAATTAAAAAAATTAAAATATTGTCCGGCCCAGGAGCCGGGCCTGCAGGTCTCTGAAAAACATACCAAGAAGTACAACATGTGAAAGTAGATTGAAAGGTTTGGATTTTTTGAATATTCATAGGCATTTGACAACAAGCAAGGATGAGATAATTGAAAAATTAGCTCAATTCCAACGAAGATTGGATTTTACATTGTAAATATATAACATACAAAATACAATTATTCCTAAGAAACTTTTTGTGTAAAGGCTCAAAAAATTCAAATTTCTATTTTGGGTCATTTAAGTGATTCTTTACATATAATTGTTTTATAATTCACATTAATTTAAAATTGTGTATTAGGAATAGTTATTAGTCATAATAAATTTATGCTTGATATTTTTAAAAATCAATAATATTTTTCAAAAAAATTTATTATCCCCCCCCCCCCCCCCAGACCAAATTCCTGCGTACGCGCCTGGTGTTTTAATGTTGATAATTTGAATAATAATAATAAAAGTATAGGTAAAGAGAGAAATATAAAGATAGAAAGTAGGAATTTTGAAATATATAGAATAAAAGGTTCAACTGGTGTAGATGTACGAAAAATTAAATTAGAGGATTTTTTAATGAAAAATAAATGTCCGAGAGTCAAGATAAAGGCTGAAGAAGCAGAGATATGTTTTTTATTGGATACAGGAGAGGAGATTAGTCTAATGAGTGTAAAAGATTTTAATAAATATTTTCCAAAAGAAAAATTCATTGCAAAGAAAATAAAGGTTAGACAATTAGACGGTAGCATGGTTAAAATTCTAGGTTTTTATGTGATAAAATTGTTAGCTATAAATAAAGAAGTAAAGTTATGGATTACTACACTAAATATAGAGCCTATTTTAGGTTGGAATGACATTGAAAAGATAGGTCTCCTCACTTCTTATTATCTCATTCGTTATTTTGTTTTTCTCACGGACATTTTCAA